ACTTTCGAAAGAAAATATGCAAATTTGGCGCACATTTGCATATCTTCTTCCAATCACTTTTTCAAAAGAGGTTGTTTCAAAAAAGAAAGTAGTCTAGACGCGGTTCTTTCGAGAAAAAACCCTTTTCCGAAAGAACCATCCGTCCTAAAAAAAAATGAGGTTTACACGGTTCTTCTGAAAAAGGTTTTTTTCCCCCCTCAAAAGAATCGCATCTAGACTACTTTTTTCTTCAAAAGAACCTCTTTCGAAAAAGTGATCAGAAGAAGATATGCAAATTTGCACCAAATTTGCATATCTTCTTTCGAACTGAAAGCCAGTCTAGACGTGCCCAGACTATCAAGACCACCTCTGAGTCCCCATCTCTTGTTGTGGCTGGGGATTAAACATTCATTTGGCCAGACAAACACCGAGGTTTTAGCAGCACTGCCATGTCACTAAAAGTCAGGCAGCATAGTCACCGTTTGCCAGCTCCTTGGACGACAAAATCCTTCAACACTCATCGAGCAGCGTTTACACTGTTGACAAGTCAAGGTCTTCAGTGTCAAGGTCAAAGAGAAGTGGAAAGAGACCAACAAACTTACAGCAAAGCAAGCAGCTTACCCTGCCAACACCACTCTGTTCACACTTGCCACTTGCAGATGCAAAACTTTTGTCTTTTCAGGGGAAGAGGGAGGAGTTAGCATCTCTGAACAACAACACTTTTGTCGTTCAATTGCCAGTGTCGACACAGCTGGGCGCTGTAGCCTTGGGGTAGGGCACTGACCTCAGAAGGGGGATAACTAGGTTGAAGTCTCTCCTGATTCAGAGCAACCCACCACTGGTGTCACTAATGCACCCGAGAGGGGGGAAAAAAAACCACAACTGTTATAGGACAGAGCTGCCTTTCTGGTAACACCATCACTTGTGAACCTACATAAAGCTGGTGATTCTCAGACCAAAAAAGCCTTTGTGAAGCTGTAGTTCAGCTTGTACTGACACAGCGTTACGACAAGGGGAAATCAAAATGCTGCTGGTGGGAACAACGGTCATTCTCGAAAAAACAACCCACGTGCATCTGGAAACCAGGACCTTGACAGTGGAGGTCACGAGACAAAGACAACACAGATGTGGAATAAGCTGCAAGAACGTCCGCAGCAAAAGACAAAACAAAATGTGGCGTTTCCGCGCTGAAACCTCTTTTTGGGGGGAGGGGAGCTGACAGCAGACTCTGGTTTTAGCTGTGAGCTTCTCTCACTCCTTTTTGCCAAATCTGTTTATATGCTGACTCTGATTATGCGGTCTCTGAAGTACTCACATCTGTAAGAGAAATCCCTAAGGGGCCATGTACTCCCTTTTTGGGGGAGGGGGGCGCGGATCTTTATAATTCACAAATGCCTGGTCAGATTTTCCTTCATGTTTCCAATAAAATTATTATTTTTATTCCCATAGCACCGAAGAGCACCTGCAATGGATAAGCATCCTATTGTGCTACCCACTGAACAAATGTAACCACCATGGGGCAGATTTGAACCAGGGACCTGTAATGCTTAGTATAGGAACCTCTACCCCCTGAGCTAAAAGCCAGCTGGCTCCCAGCCCATGCTGTAGAGGTCTCTTGATCTTAGCTGTTGCTCTGGTCTAGGTGCCACTACATGGGACAGTGAACCACACTAGAGCTATGTCTACTCTCGCGGCTTCTTGCACGACTAATATGCAAATGAGGCTAAGTGTGGAATATCGCCAAGCCTCATTTGCATACCTAATGAGCCACCATTTTTTCCAGAAGAGGCTCTTGCGCAAGAAGGAGTGTCTACACTGCCCCTTCTTCCACAAGAAAAACCCTCTTACGCAATGCCGTTACACCTATTACTTCTCAGGAATAACGGCATTGCGCAAGAGGGTTGTTCTTGCGCAAGAAGGGGCAGTGTAGACGCTCCTTCTTGCGCAAGAGCCTCTTCTGAAAAAAATGGTGGCTCATTAGGTATGCAAATGAGGCTCGGCGATATTCCATGCTTAGCCTCATTTGCATATTAGTCGCACAAGAAGCTGCAAGTGTAGACATAGCCTAGGTGTGTGGGTTACACCAACACAGAACAAAAAGCCAGAAAGAACTTTCAATCCACTCCCTGCATCAGTTCTGACATTTCAGGCAGAATAGAGATAGGAGAACTAACTACTGACAATTCCCCGATAACAGCTGGCTAAGGAGGAAACTGAACAACCTTGTAAGAACTATCCTTGGAAAGTTCAGGATACATCCAGCTTCACCAATAAAGGCTGGCTTTAGCTCTGAGCAGCTCTCACTCCTCTTTGCAAGAATTGGTTCATATGTTGGCTGTATTGCTTGTTAAGCTCTCTTACAAACACCCTCCTCCATTACCACACACATCACTGTAAACACACACATCAGCAGTATAATCTGCTTTGACGTGAAGATCTGGCTGGCTGGCTTCAGTGTCAAGGTCAAAGAGAAGTGGAAAGAGACCAAACTAACAGCAAATTGAAAAGCAAGCAGCTTATCCTGCCCAACAGAGATTCCAGAAGTGGGAGTTGTGTATGGTTCTTCCCCTCGAACTGATGCTGTTTGATGACAATTTATATTCAAGAAAGACATTTTGGAGAGAACCTAAAATGGAAGTATGGGGCATGTACTCTTCACGAGGCTGGCTTTGTCATGCTCCCAGCAGAAGAGCAACAGACAACCCCTGTTGACCAACTAAATCTGCAAGACTTAAGTATTAATTTTCATTTGCACCAGTTTTTAAAGATGTTTTTCTACTTGCTAGCGATGTGCCGTACAGACCGGCCTTGCATTCAAAAGGGACCGATACCCAGCCAGTATTGCATGATAACACAAGGAACTCAGAGGCTATGGTGACGGGAGTCATATAGGAGTCTAGATCAGTGATTCTCAACCTAATTACCACTGTGGGATGCATCTACTGCTCTCTATGAGAGATGTGGGCTGCATCACAAAATATCTACACTACCTGAACAGCCCTTAGAATGTAACATGAGCCACAGCTGTGTGCGGATTGGGCTGTGGGTTGAAAACCACTGGCCTCGATAATCAATTCAATGGAATACCTAACTGCACAGTTATGCTCCTGAAAGGGATGTAAGAAAGATGTTCTGGAACTCTTCTCCATTCAGTGCTCTCAGTTCAGTTTACAAAGTCGAAAAATGTCCATTTTCCGAACTGGCAGATCTGGGAATTGCACCTTGGATCTGCATATTTACTACACGTTGAACCTCTCTAGTCCGGCACCTGACCAGTTCTGAACAAGATCATTTTCTGGACCACAGGAGGGCAATATTGTCTAGCAGCATTACCAGCACTTCCACTGCTTACTGGGCTGTTAGAGGACATTTAGGTATAAATCAGAGCTAAACAACAACACAGAACACGGAGAGCCAGGACTGATGGCTGTAAACAAACTGTATGGGACCGCGAGAAACTTAGCCACACCTATAAAAAGTGGGCATCCAGCTAGCTAAAATCATTCCGGATGGCGGATGTTTCTGGACAAGAGAGTTCTGGATTAGAGAGGTTCAACATGAGGGCAGGGGACGGGACTCAATGACCTCTCAAGGTCTCTTCCAGTCCTAGTATTCTATGATTCTACAACCTATACATCATCCCACCGATAAGAAAGATCCTGCAGCTGAATGTAAGGGCTTGTTTATACAGGATCAGAGGGTAGCCGTGTTAGTCTGGATCTGCAAAAGCGACGAGGAGTCCTGTGGCACCATATAGACTTAACAGATTTATTGGCGCATAAGCTTTCGTGGGCAAAGACCCACTTCGTCAGATGCATCATGAAAGCTTATGCGCCAATAAATCTGTTAGTCTATAAGGTGCCACAGGACTCCTTGTCACTCAATACAGGATGTTACCAGGCGATAAGCCAGGGTGTGAATGTACAGTAATTACTCATTTAACACGTGCCCATTTAACACATTTTTGCAATAGTGCAATTTTTTTTAGGGAACTTTTTCAAATAACTTTCGGGGAACTGTCCCCGAAATAACATGAAAATAATCAAGTGGCGGACTACTTTGTGCAGCGGTGGTAATATGCATAAGCGGATGTGTACACGTGGTCACAGCGCTCCTCCACTCACTTATATTTGTGTTTTAACAAACCGCAGCAACTTGTATTGCTAGATATCTAATGCTGACGCTGATGACTGAGCAGCAACAAAAAACTGACTGTCACCACCACTTGAAACGCAACTACCACCTTTTCCTTTATTTTTAATGGGAAAATTGACCATGCATAGCACGTTTTCGCTTTCTATGAACATTTTCAGAAACGTATCTATAGTGTTAAATGAGGAATTACTGTATAGCAAACCAGCTTGCCGGACAAAATATCCCATGTAGATAAGCCTTACCTTAGTTAATGTGTGAGGCAGAACAGAATCTACCTTTTATTCACATTCATTGGCTTTCCAGGATCCGAATGTGTAAAATTCTTTGCATGTGTCAATATGGCATGCAGATGTAACTCACAGACACACCGGGAAAAGCAATTTGGAATAAGATAATGCTACTGTTACGCAGAAATGTCCTCAAACGTCAGCACACATTACATATGATGACATTTAATGTAGAGAAATCATGTAGCACATGACATTTAATTTAGAAAAATATGTAGCACAATGTGCCTTGTGTTTCCTGAGTTCAAAGTAACTTCAACTCCTTCCAAACTACAGACAAGCCTGAGCAAAGTTTCTTCAGACTGGCAAATCTGGATCCAAACTTCAAAACTGACCCATCTTTTTCACGGGCCAAACACCACCAGACTGTAAGTAAAAGTTTGAACCAGGATACTAGCTTCATATGCTACTAAAGTTGACCAGAAAGTGGTCAATACTTTCTGAAAACAATTTCAGAAGTAATAATTTTTTCTTAATTTTCCCCAGCAATGTTCTAGCTTTAAGGGGGTAGAATTTTTTTTTTTTTAAATCTTATTCGGCTATTTAAACTTTTACCAAGTAGAAAGCTGGTGGTCTTACCTTCATACATCTCCAAAATGTGAACTGTGTCCCCAATATGCAAGGAGAGCTCCACATCCTGGACAGCATCATAATTGTAGATTGCTAAAAGGGGGGAAAAAGAGGAAAAAAATATAATCATGCAGGAAGTGAAGTGAAGCAAGAGCATGAAGGTTCTTCGATGCTGCAATCTGACTTCTTGCAATTACCAAACACTACGGGAAGGCATTGCAAAGGATTTTACTGACTAGTAAGCTATTCGGAGCATAACAGACCGGGAACATGCATGGTACTTCTCCTGCAGCATGTCCACTCCAGCTTTGTCTACACTTAAAAGCTTAAAGTGTGGCCATAGCACGAGCACTGGGACAGAGCTCTCTCAGTGCTCCAAGTAAACTACCTCCAGGAGGGAGTAGCTACAGCGCTGTAAGTTGCCGCGCGTGGGAGAGTGCTCCCTAAGCCGGAAAGTTGCAGTGCTATAAAGTGCCAGTGTAGACTTAGTCTCAGGAATAAGAACATACTACAGGCTGAACCTCTCTAGTCCGTCACTTGCTGGTCCTGCAACATCTGTGGTCTGCCATGATGTTAGTTAGCAGGATGTCCACTTATCATGGGCGTGGCCAAGTTTCCTGCAGTCCCGTAACCTTTGTTTACAGCCACCAGTCCTGTGTGTCAGTGTTCTGTGCTGTTATTTAGCTCTAATTGACCCCGAAATGTTTTCTAAGAACCCAGCAAGCAGTGGAAGTGCCAGTAATGCTGCTGGACAACAGTGACCTCCCGTGGTCCGGCACACTCTCCGGTTTGGCACCGCTCAGGTTCCAAGGGTGCCGGACTAGAGAGGTTCAATCTGTTACCAGCTATTTGGAGTGGCAGAGGTCTGCACAGTGATGCTAATGATCTGGGAAGGGGAAGTTGTCCGGGACTGATTATATGATAATTGCCCTTCTTTACTAACCCTTCAGAAAACTAGTGGGAGAGGAAGTTTTTCATGTACATGCAAGACAAATAGTAATAGAGATGTAACCATGTTGCTGAAACAAGATGCAAGACAAAGATTTTCCACTTCTGGGACAATTCTAACACTCCATAATAGTTGCCCGAGGCTGCTGCCGCTGGGTATGGCTACTCCCCCATGATTCCCCACGTCTATGGCTCAACTGAGTGTTGTTGGTGTCTGAGTATGGAAGATGTTAACAAGCAAACCTGTGATTCGCCAGGAGCTACATCGCTAACTAAAGCTTATGCAAATTCTGTCACTGGGTTTCAATGGGAACAGGGTCAGGTTTCAACCTGGCAATCCATAGGATAGTCTTGCTGGGCAGCCTGCTGGAGTTAGCACTGTACTTGGGGGCACTGTGGCCTTATCTAGATTAGAAGGAGGACTGTCCTTAAGATTCAGGGGGCCCTGCAGTACTAGTGAACTAGTGTCCCTGTGCCGATGGCAGCTGGGGAGGAATTTCCAGAGCTGTGGTTTTATAATTCTCAGCAACACACTAATGAAATATTTTAAAGCAGATTTTAAACTACGGTCCTGTCGACTAAGATAGTAAATTCAGAAAGTGACAGGACAGACCTGGGTTTGGCAAATGCCTGTTAAATGGCTTCATTACCACTTGACCGGCTTTTTCACAGGTTCCATGTTAGGCTAATACAGTGATGGGCAAAAGGGCCTCTGTGGGCCGATCCGGCCTGCCAAGCGGGTTGATCAGGCCCACGGAGGCCCTGCCACTCCCCTGCCCCCCGGCCAATTAGGGCCTGGGGAGCGCATGAAGTTTCCTCCTGCCCTGTGAGGAGCACACGGCACTTCAAAGTGCCGCACGCTCCTTGCAGAGCAAGGATAGGGCAGAGGAAACTTCGTGTGCTTCCCCTGCCCCCAGACCCCAATTGGCCTGGGGGTGGGGGAGTGCGTGCAGCCTCTTTCCACCCTGCCAGGGGCACTGGTGCTTAGTGGGAAGGGAAGGAGGGTAAAGGGGCTCCCCTACCCCTAGACCAATCATGATCTGTGGGTGGGGAAGCCCGGAAGCATCCTGGCCCCGCCTCCTCCATTTTAGGCCCCACCCCTTCCTGGGCAGCCAGGGGCCATTTAAAAATTTTTTGAAGTGGCCTCACCCAAAAATTATTGCCCAACCCTGGGCTAATAGCTTTGTCAGGCTTTTTCACTTTTAAGTTAACTAGATCTTCTTCGGAGGAACCAGAATCACAGAACAGAGATAGGAAGAGGTAGGTCGGTGGACATTAAGACCCAGTGGTGCCCCAAATTTTCAGGTGCCCTACACAACTGAGTACTAAGTGTGGACGGCCCTGATTAGAAGGTAACTTGAACTGGCTTTTTAACTGGTACAGCAAAATAAGTGGGCACAGGCAGTCTTTAACAACAGTTTAAACTACACTGGCTTAAATTCACACCTGAAGTTAAACTACGGCCGCCTTCTTATTTGTCTAAGGCTTTAGACTCAAAGCCGCCAAGACATCATTAGTTTTCATTCATCTCTTGGATAGCTATTCCCTAAGGAACTGCAGAGGTGAAGCACAGAAGCAATGGGAAGGAAGCACACTGCATTTCAAGGAGGAGTATTAACCTGCTAAATGCTACGAGCTTCATACTTTAAGGGGTTTGCATGTGAAGGATGCACTTTGAACATAATTACAAAATCTTCAACTGCTGCATCGGGAAATTCACAACATCAAATGCCTAGTATTTCCGTCAGGGTGAAGTATATTACTTCCTGGCTTGGAGCCAATCTAAACAAATGACTGGCGCACCACACCGGAAATTATATCACACACTCTCTTAAAAATCCTGAAGCTATAAATAATGTAGCAATAAGTGGGCAGGTTATGTGAATTTCCTGTAGTGTCCAAACTAGTCATGGGTGCATAAACATTTATTCTCTTTATGCTGCTTTGTTAGTGTGGATAGATACTGGGCCAGATTCATACTTTGTTTAGCTCCCAATGGCTGCATTATTGGGTAGATTTTCTAACTGACTAAAGTTTCCCTCCCTCTCCTATCTGCACAGAATCCTAGATTCGAGGGCCAGAAGGAACCTCTGTGATCTTCTAGTCTGACCTCCTGGATAACAGGACTTCCTATAGCAGCTCTTATAGAAAAACATCCAATCTCGTTTTAAAATTCCTAGCGATGGAGAATCTGCCTGGGCCCTTGTTAATGATTCCGGTGGTTAATTACCCTCACTGAAGAAAATTTCAGAAAGGTAGCCGAAATGTACGCTTTATTTCCCGACTGAATTTGTCTAGATTCAAATTCCAACTGATCGGTCGTGGGACCTGTACTCCATTAGCTACTTCAATTGTCCGCTCTACCCCTGAGATGTTAGTCAAAGACTTTCCCAAGTAACTAGTGATTTTGGATTCCCGACTTGCCTAAAATCCCACTCGACACCCCGGCAGAAAAGACAGGTACAGCACTGACTAGCTGAGGTGCACAGTAAACGACAGCAGGATACACGACCTGCACCTCCACCCTCACAATCCGAAAAGTCCCATAGTCAGGTTCAGAAACCCAAATGAGAGGGAAACGTGGTTCTAACCAAGGCTCCATGTGCCCAGTTAGTCACTGCAAGCAGCTGGAAGGCCACTGGTTCACCAAGTAGATCAGAACCTTGGGCATTTACACATGTCGAGATCACAACATAATATCCGGGGGCAGGAGGGGAGGGGAGAGCAGCCAAAACGTGACCTAGTTCAGTAAAACACACGGAACATTTTGTCTGACAGAGCAAATGCTTCTGAATGTTTTCATAAAGGTGCAGTGCACGAACCCTGTCTAAAGAACTGCCTGCAGTCCTGCCGCCCACTGCGGGAAATCTGCCAGTTCACTAAAGCTGGGAAGGATTGAGCCAGGTCGTTACTTGTATGGGACAACTCCAAAATAGGAATGTAACATGCCATTTAATTAGTTAACCGGTTAATCTATTGAACAGGTTCAGGTGAATGGGGGGGAGGGGGAGCTGGAAACTAGGGTGGCCAGGTGGCCAGTATTGACCCGGACAGTCTGGCATTTTTGCATCCTGTGGGTAAAAACATTCAGGCCAAAAAACCTCAAAAGCATTTCTTAAAGGGGTCATGCTTTTTTTTTTTTGCGCTCAACTTTGGTCTCTCCCCCTCCCCCCCAGAATTTTTTTTTGCGGGGTGGGATGGGGGGTGAATGGTATTTCTGGTTAAACCATCTGGCAACCCTAGCTGGAATACAGAACAAAAAGGCAGCTCCTGCTAATGTTATGGCTGGTTTCTGAAAACAATGGGTCAGACTAAGGATGTGAATAGTTAAGCCAGGGCTGGGCAAAAATATTGCCTGGGGGCCAGATTCGGTCCATGGACCACCTTGCCAGGACCCTCAGGCATGTAGCTGCCCCTGTTTAAAGTGCAATCCCTATGTTTCTCTGCACTGCAGAGAGGGGGGGGAGCTTCATGTAACTGCCCCCCAGCCCAATCCTCATCTCCTATTGGCCAGAAACAACCAGCCAATAAAAATTGACTTCTGCCAGTGTCTCAGCTCCTATTGGCTGGAAACAGCCACCGGGAGCTGAGAGCCCCATGGAGGGAGCAGACGGTATTTTCAAACAGTCTGGGGTTGCTGCAGGCAGGGAGCCCAATTTGCCTTGGGGATGCTGAAGGCCAGGAGACACTTAGATAAGCGCCTCCCAGCCAGAGCCTGCCTCTGTACCCCCGCCCCTCCTGCATCTCAACTCCCTCCCCCAGGTCACCATCCAAACCCTCTGCACTCCCCTGCCCCAGGTCACAACTCCTTCCCAGACCTGGAGCAGTGCGGCCGGAGAGTCACACGGCACGAGCTGGAGCCACCTTGCTGCGCCTTCCCTGCCGCTGTCTGAGTGCTAGTCCCCGGGTTGCCTCAGCTAGGGGAAGAGGTGGGGCTGGGAGGGGAGACCAGGAGCCAGAGGGGGGTTGTCCTGGCCTGGCCTGGGACTTGAGGAGAGCACGTGGCTGGTGCCCTCTTTCCTTCACCTGTCACCCTTCATTTGCGGTGACAGAGTCTGGATCCCTTGATTCCTTGTTCTGTTCATCCCCTCAGACCTGGGGCACCTGGCATTGGCCACGGTCGGCAGACAGGACACTGGGCTGGT